ATATATGATTTCCCTATAGGATTTGTTCCCTATGAAAATATAATGCCACTGCTCATCTGAGAGGAAGCAAAGGTCAGGCAGTAATGTGAGTGGTGAGTGGTGGGGAATGGCTGTAAATACTGTTGAAATTACCTAACTTGCCCACTGCTGACCTTGATTTTGGTGCTCACTACAGAGCTGTTCTCTGACTGGGTCCTGGGAAAATTCCACTGTCAGCACTTTCCACGAAGAGGAGGTAGCTGACTTACAGGGAAGGTGCAATGTTGAGTGGGCTGCTGTGCATCACAGCCAAAGTTCAAGTTCCCTTTGGCAGTACTTCATTGTTGACTGACTTGTTCTAGCCTTTGTACTGTTGACCTGACTCTTTTCTCCCTGACCACTGCTTACCTGGATCCTGGAAGAAGGGAGTGGGTAGACTGTTGGATTTCTCCGCTATACTTACAATCATGTCAATGGCTCTTATTGTCTAAGCAAACCGGCTTTCATTTCACCTTTGATTTTGCAACAGTCATTAATTCTGGCTATGGGTCATCAGTATAGATGAAATGAAAGGAAGGCATTCTGAAAACTTTATCACTTCTTCTCCCATCCCTTCCTACTCTTTATTTTTTCCAGAACTTTCACACATTCCAGGTCATTCATTCTGGATTGAAAACCCGCCTGGGGTAGGAAAATAGTCACTGAACAAGCTATCGAAAGATCTCAGATTCTGACTCTTCTGCTTACTGATTGTGTGTCCCTGAGGTGTCCTGGTCCCTTTAGCCTCAGGTCCTTTAATTGGGAAATGGCCACAGAGCCCACCTTAGTGAGTGACCATGAAGACCGGTGGACACATGGAGGAGAATTACGATCTTCCTATGTGTAGAATCCGGGGAATACTTGTTCCCTTTCTTCCCTCTTCTTCTTCCCCAAACTTCTGTCCCCTCTGGAGCTCCAGGTTTCCTTCACTCTTTTTAACTTGTGGGTCCTAGAAACCAAAATCTCAGCGAGTTAATTTGCCTGCCACAGCCTTAGGACAGATTAGTGGCAGACAAAGGTATAATCATCTTGCAAACCCCAGGCCAGGTTTTCTGCCTACCTCTGCACATTGCGGGGGGCTGAGTGGTTACCTGAGCTGCCTGGCTCATCACGTCAGCTTCCGGAGGGCTTCTGTTGCCTGTGCGGTCAGTGAGCTCACTCACAACTTGTTTCCCCACCCCAGGTTTTGGCCCCCGGTCATTTCCTCATCATGGTGCCTGTGAGGGGCCTGGCTGGGTACAGAGAAGTGCGGGAGCAGCGCTGGCGGTACTACAACCTGAAGGGCTCCCGGCTCTCCTGCCCCTTGCGGGCCCCCGAGGGCCTGCAGCAGTGGCTGCAGGTGGAGCAGTTCACAAAGAGCATGTGGCAGTGGCACGAGGCTGACGTCAACATCGAGGGTGACATCGTGCCCGCCAAGGTCCTCCAGGTGTTCCAGAAGCTGGTGGAAAAAGCGATTACTACCTGTCACCTCTCAGGTGAGCCGATCCGAGGAAAGGTGCAAGGGGTATTGTGAGGTTCCCTTCTGGCTCTAAAAGCCTTGCGTGGATGTAACTGAGACAGGAATCGGGTGGCGCTCACATCAGTGAAGGGTGTAGGAAGTTACCCTTTCTTCTGTGGTGACAAAGAGACTATGGCGGTTTGTGCTTGCCAAACACTCCTGAGGGTTTAGGCAGATGGCTATCCTGGCAGACACAATGCGCTGTGGACTATGTACCTTTTCCATGTTTAAAAGAGCAGATTGGGCCAGGGATTTGGTGCTGTGCCTGCCTCACAAGCCCAAGATCCTTAGTTTGATCCCAGTACCAATAATAATAATAGTAATAATAATAATAATAATAATAAAACAGCAAAATATTCACAATTCAAGTAGCACTTTCTACTGCAACAGCTTCCGCCTGACTCAATGCACCCGCAGTGCACTGAGATATCACATTTAGAAACCTCCCAAATAGCAAAGCACAAAGTCCTGAAGCTGTGAGAAATTAGTGAGGTTAGCAACTCCCAAATTTTAAGCTACTGTATAATACGGGCATGTATATGTGTGCATTCACGCACGTACAGGTACACACACACACTTTATTCACGCAAAGTAAAAAGGTGAATTTCAAACTGAAAAAAATGGCTAATGTCCTCAATTATAAAGGAGTGTTTATAAACCAATAAGGAAAAAGAGCTGAACAGTAGGAATCATAACTCTAAAACAAACAAACCAACAACAAAAACAAGAATCACAGAAAATAATACAAATAGAAAATGAGGCTGAGGCAGGAAATTTGCAGATTTGAGCCCAGCCTGGATAATAACTTCAGTGACTTAGCAAGACTGTGCCTCTGTATAATAAAGGTCCAGAGATGTAGCTCAGTGTTGACCCTTGGTTCAATTTCCAGTACTGCCATGAAGAGAGAGAGAGAGAGAAGGGAGGGGAGGGGAGGGGAGG